TAGAAATCACAATACGTGGTAGCGTTATATATATATAATTATATATTATATCCTGTACACTGCACAGGATGTTTTGACTCCAATGCAGACAAGATTTACATGGGTTTCAATGGGAACTGAGTTGTCCCATCTCTGCTCATAAGTACAAACTGTAATGCGCTGCAGAACGTGAGTCTATACTTTATGTCAAATGTAAACGGCCCTGTGTCACTGACTTACCCCTGTGTTTTCATCACGGCACATGTGAGTCCAACAACCAATGAATAGCACTAGCATATAGCGCCGCACCGCAAGTACACTGAGTCGGGGTGCGTTCACAGACGGTGGAAACCGTAGGAATTTTTAGTTTTCGGCGGAAACAGTGCGGAGAATACAGGAGGGAGGAACTTTCTCTCGTTGCGTTTCAAAAGAGAAAACAGATTTCACTCAGTTTTAAATGGAAAACAAATTGTCTGCCGTTCATGACACATAATATGAACTAATTCACGTTCAAGTTCTTTATTAAAAAATGTGTTGCGTTCAGTTCAACGTTCACGAAAAAATTAGCGTGTTCAATGAACGCGTTCTTTTGAACTCGTTCACGCACAACACTGGCTTTGGCCTGGCCTTGCTCATTGGACCAGGCCACCAGGCAGGCTAGGAGTTTGCAAAGACCGTGAGGATGAAATTAAATTAAAAGAAAAAAAAAAAAAAAAGACCGTGATGATAGGGCAGGCCCAGGCCACTTTGACACGCAGGCCACCGGGAGATCTCCCGATGCTCCCGATGGCCAGTCCGGGCCAGCCTGTCTTGATCCATGCTGGGTCAAATCCTGATGTTTGAAACAAGAGGCATGGAAAGCAAAATAAAGCATTAGCCTCGCTACATGCTGCTAGCCAAGATTTGGCGCTGAACCAGGTCCTGGAAAAAGTACGAGTGTACCGTCTCCCCCTGTCGCTGGACTGCTGACTAATGGTAATATTTGGCTGATCAGGTCCAAGCTCTTTAACCTCAACCTTCTCCTGGTATGATCTTCTCTCAAACGGTATTGTTTTGAGTGATCTAACTGAATTATTCTTTTTCTCGTTCTCCATTTTGCGTCTCTTTACGTTCGTCTCAAACTCCCACAGCTTGACCTGTCAATCACTGTAAACGGACGTCACAGACAGTGACAGTACAAGTCGCGGGCGATCCCGCCCCCTCAGGGCGCACTTCTCCTGCGCCCCCAAATCGTCTTATCTCTTGCACTGAAGAGGAGCTACTGCGCATGTACAACTTTTAACGAGAGTCCATAGACGGCTCAGGGCGCAATCTTTTGCGCCCTGAGGCGGAAATACGTCCTCAGTCCGACACAGACAACGCTGATGAGCTTAATCAATCCAACTCAGCATAAACTATAAAGTATTTCTTCCACATCTGAAATAAAACACACATAAATTTCGAAATATTTTAATGTTATTTTTTTTTTTTACGTTTTATTCAAGGTAACATGGCAAGTTGTGAGTGGTGGGGCGGCGCCCTAGCGCCCTCTATTGGCCGGCCGCCACTGCATCCTTCAATGGCCCATCTCCAGACATTGATACTCGGCTGGGTCAGACCCTGAGCTGAGTCATTTTACCCATTGTTTTGGGAGATGGGGGAAACTGGAGCACCCGGAGAAAACCTACCCAGGGACAGGCTACTCCATACAAAAAGACCCAGGTCGATTCAGGAATTAAACTTGCGATCTTCTTTCTGTGAGGCAAGTCAGAATTTTACAAGCTTTGGGAAAAATAAGTGTAATTTCATCTATAAAACTAATAGGCGCTTGACATTTTCAAAACAGGTCAAGTTCGTTCTCCTTGTTGACTGAGCATGTAATAAAATCCTCCACTGCATTTGTTCACACACGATTACACAGACATTTAAATGTATGGGCTGAGTTCCAGAAAAAAGAGGCCTGAGTCTTATCGTCACTGACCAAGCCATCGCGAGCCAAACAGGACACCACAATGACAGCTGCACCGTGGGACATTTCCTTGGTTGGAAACATGATTTTCTGGAACCAATATTCAACACACATTTTGCAGCCTATAAAGTTGGAATAAAACACTTTATACCAGTGACGCTTTTGAGTACAAGAAGTGTTTTACAAGCCACAGCTCATTTCAATAGCATCTGATTTAATGCGGACAAGGATAAATGTGTCTGACGAGAAAATGAGTCTGGCTTTATAAGAGAATAATTCTAACATTATTGAAAACCAAGTTGTCAAGAGGGGACAAATGTTTGAGTTGTTGAACAGTAAAAATAAATGATGAGTGCAATAATGATCCATCACATTTCTATGACATTTCTGTGAAAGCCGCCAGCCAAATTAGTCCTGACCAAGAGTTGCATCAGCATCTGGTGATGGGTCCCTGGGTACCTTAAATATCTTCCCACTTCTTCAGACAGGTTCTCCCTCGTGGCATTAAAAAGATGGGTCAAAAGCCGAAGAATCCTTTCCCTACAGAGACAATAAAGTACACCCTGCTCCAATGATTTATCACTTTTCTACCACATTTTTGTGAAAAATAAAGTTGGGTGCTATATGCTTTCTCAGCTGATGTGAGTCCAGCACATGTCATCTTTGGGCCAGTCCTGGAGCCTTGTCTGAGCGAGATAAGACCCCCGTCCCCAGTGCCTCCCCCTGACCTTCTGCTGAAAACACGGGCTGCAGCTATGAAGATGGATTGCTCAGCGGTTGACACCCATCCCTTTACTGTTCGAGCTGCTCTGGAAGCCAAACGCAATTAAGGCAATTAATCTTCAACAAAAGCGGTTCACCACTACCTTCTGATTATTTATCTTTCTCATCTTCCTGCAGGTGCCAACCATAGATTGTTTATGGACAATGCTAACCCCCTTGCTCAATGAAGCCCATTAGGGAAGTGCTCATGGACATAGTCTTGCTAACTAATGATGTCTCACTAACCATTTGGGGGGGTTTTGTTTGTTTATATTGTAAATTCGGATATGAATCAGAAGGGTTGATGAATCAGATCTCTTCCCAGGGAAACTTCCAGTTTGCCTTAGCAACCATGTTAGCAACACGTCTTCCCTCAGATATAAGGACATTGGCTCCAGCTGACTTAAGTTGAAATCGGCTTCTTCTGCATTAGTATGGGTGATGTCAGCTCTCGGTCAATTTACTCCTAATATACAGACCAGAGTTCCAACACAGCAACAACATCTAAGGGGCACTCTGGAACATCATTCATTCAGACTTTAAGTAAAATTACACCTTACAAAGCATTGTCTAAACATAAGAATCCCACATTTGTTTGGCATGTTTGTGTGTGCAGGTACCACGTCCTGCTAAATACTACAACAAAGCTGATTAAAGTAGTGATGTTACCTTTTATTGGTATCCTGGGCGAACGTGTCTGCAGACTATACGGTAGGACCATGAATGAGGAGCTATTAAACAAGACTTGGGTAATTATTACCTCAACAGATGTAAAGCACTTTTACAAGGATGTGAACAAGGGAGGAAAAGGGAGGTTTGAATACTTTTGAAGGATCTTAAAACCCTATCTGTTCCTAAAAAGACCCTTGCAGGCAGCTCTGCGGATTTCGCCGCATGCAATATACTCTACAGCTGTTGACTTTTTAATTAGCAATCTGTACCTCATTTCTCTAATTCTGGGCAAGCTGCGCAGGTGGCCATTTATTTACACCAATAGCAACATTCTCACTTCAAACAGACTAGTGGGGAATATTTGTTTGCATATATGCATTTAAAATCATGCCCCTAACTGAACTCAGCTAGTATAATAATAATAATAGTAATAATAATAATGAGAGTAATCCTCATCATAATTATACAATAATAGAAAAATATTATAGCGGTCTTTTTGACACTCAAAGATGCTCCACATGTCATTATCATTTTACTCCATACACAGTGGTGATAAACTGCTACTGTAGCCATAGACTGGGGCACACCGACAGAAGCAAGGGACCAGTATGTGCCATTGGCCCATCCACTAACCATTCACACACACACCAGACTCATTCTAGGCAATGTGGGACAAGTGTCTTGCCTGAGAACACAACAACAGTTTGGCACTTTACAGCCGCCCTACTCTGGCACCTGGTGTTCCCAGAGGTCTCCCATCACAGTACTAATCAAGCCCTGCCCTGCTTAGCTTCAGAGGTCTGACGATCTTGCTTTCATATGCAGGTGGTGCCCTTACATAAATGTACCAAGCATCATGTTTCTGAGAGCTGATCAGTCCAATACCACAGTGTATTGGGGTATATTGGAAGAAGCAATGTCACTGTAACCCCTCAAATGAAAGTAAGTTTGATAATGTTATAGTGTGAACAATAAAGGCATATAATAGTCCAATTCAAAATCTTTGAGTCGTGACTGAGTGGTTAAGGGCAAGTGAAGGGCACAGGACTGAGCACTATGCAAATGACAAGGCACTTTGTTTGACAGGCAATAACAGCGCTTTGTATAAATGCAAAACTGTGAAAGACTCGAAACAGAGAGATGCTGTCTCTGCAAACATGTCTGGTGACACCTAAAGGGCGACCCGAGAATGAATAAGACAACAATCGCTCTTGTTATGGACAGCATCACCCTTTGTCTAAATGAAAAGAACTCTCTTGAATATCGGAGTAGGAAACTCAATCCAACATTTATGGTTAAATAAATAATGTGTTAAATAGGTCGAACGTTGAAAATTGGTCCTTGTTCTTCAACATAAACTAGAGTTGGTAATTGTGTCTAATATTACCCCATCATCAGTGGAGGTAACCTAAACCTGGGGTACCTAACTTATTATGTTGAACCTAACATTTTGTTTGTCCCAACAGAAGAGTCATGCAAAATTAAAATGTTGTGTGGATTCCAATACGGTCAAAGATGCATGCATGTGAAAGCTAGCTAGCAAGCAAGGAACCAGTTAGATGACTTTAATTACAAAATATGTTGTTTCAAAGTTAGGTACTTCAGCTTTAATGAACTTTAAGAAACTTTGCAGCCTCACCTGCTGGTCTCTCGCAGAGGTTCAGTGCCCTTGCGCCAGGAGATGACACCCCAGGGCGACATCTTGGGGTTGCACTCGATGAGAACATCACCACCCACCTTCACCAGGGTCTGGCTCTTCAACTGACTGTGGGAGAAGTCTGGAGCCACAGCTAAGACGAGAAAACAAATACAATCATTTTCACTCTGCTCTAGTCCACATACTTCTATGAAATGTATGACGGGAATGTAGTGTGCCAAAAGGTAGGTTCAGTAAAACTTCATGGTCCATTAAAGATACAAAATTGTCGAGCTGATTAAAAATGATGTAAAATATATGAAAAATGGCATTGAATCCTGCGACACTTTTTCAGGAACAGAAATGTCATGGCCTGTTTTGTTGCTCTTGGTCTAACTTTAAAACGTGACCTTTTAAAAATACTGCGTCTGCTTCTTTGCCTTTTATATTTGGACAATATCTTTACCACTGTCCTGAAGAATACAGCAAAGGATGGAAAACCACGTGTGTCTTATGAGTGAACTGTGATAGTCTCTGGTGTTCAAAGTTTCAATATACAATACAATATACATTTTTTTATGTATAGCTTGGGGTTGAAAGCAGGTAGGTTGGAGTTTTAAGGGCCGGTTTCATCCTATACTTTTTCAAACCATGTGCTTGGATGATGCCTGGTATGTTCTGTGGCCGTGTTTTTTTAATGCAGGTTTAATATATATTATTCATGTAACTTTAGCGCTTGCTGGACCTGTATATAAACCGTAATAGCAAGATTTGAAGAAGAAGAATACACTTTGAATATAAGCCACAGGTTTTGACGTTGTGATGTACCTCTTAACCTACAGCTGATGGAGAAAACAAAGTCGATGGAGGAATGTTTTAACAAGAGCATGATTTGATGATGAGGTCTTGAAACACAGTTGTTATGGACAAAACTGAATAACACAATGAACTTTGAGGAGAAACCAATAGCTCACGTTGACATGTGTAACTTTGTATCATCAATACAGTATGTTTTCGTCCTATAGCAAAATGATATAGTCAAAATGATAAGTCCATAAATGTTGCTTTGACAGCCCAACTCTACAACAATAATATCAATCAACGTTTATTTATAGAGCGCCTTTCCTACACAAGGCAACGCAAAGCGCCTCACAACCCATATAACATCATGCATAAATCATCAAACATTAGAATTTAAGTAAACATAAAAAGACAGATTAAGAGCACAAGATATATAAAATCACACAAGTAGTTAAAAACCGTAAAACATTAAAATCACACAAGGGATTACAATCATAAATAATCATAAATAATCATAGCGCATTAAAAAGATTAAAGATAAAAACAAATATAAAATCATTCACTTTTTGTATGCACAGCTAAAAAGAACTGTTTTCAGTTCAGTTTTAAAAACTTCTAGAGTAGACGCCTGTCTCACACTCTCGGGAAGACGGTTCCAGACTCTAGCTGCATGAATCTGAAACGCAGCCTCCCCATGTCTAGTTCCGACTCTTGGCACTAACAGAAGTCCAGTCCCTGTGCTCCTCAGAGCCCGAGTTGGTTCATATGGCACCAACAGGTGCACCAAGGACCGGACTAATGTGGTCGTACTTCCTGGTTCTAGTCAGGACTCGAGCTGCAGCATTTTGGATGTACTGCAGCTGTTTTACCGCTTGTTTAGAGAGACCTGTGAACAAGCCATTGCAGCCATTGCCATAATACTGCTACATGCAATGGCTGCATAACTATATACTGTAGGTAGCAGGGTCCAAAGTACTTAAAAGGTCCAGCAATTACAGTTACGGAAGTTATGGTTTCTATTTTTCTCCCACTGTGTTTTTTGAGTTTTTCCTTGCTGATGCAGGAGGATCTAAGGACAGTGATGATGATCCAGGACACTCAAAATTCCACCATTTAAGAACATTGGTCATTGAATTGAATTGAATGAATAACTGAACTAATAACTGAATGAATGGCTGAATTAACTGATGCACATTTAGGTCTGACCACATATTTTGTTGTATGAGAAAAGTCACTTCTGAAACTTGTAGCGGTTGGTGAGCACTGATGCAGACTATAGAGTCCTGTATAATCCCGGCCTCATCGTTTTACATATTTCAGATGACTAATAAACTGGTGAATGTAGTGACTTCCACTTGACATTCCTCTATGTCATTGACCGGAGTGCAGTGAGTGGACAGATTCCAATCAGTGTGAAAGGAGGGACACGCTGAGCTTGAATAGAGAGCAGGCCACGGGAGTGACAGGGCTGACGGGGCAGAAGGTCCAGCCAGCTCCGCGTAGCAGCGCTAGCATAAATCACTGTCAAATGCACTATTCATCTTATAATTAATGTTTTCCAATTAGAGACCAATAAGAGAGGGGCCAGGGGTCATTGTCGGCAGGAGCAAACTTGAACGTAAATAAAGAGAAATGCATGTCTGCTTCCTGTTCCATGGGTCAAGTCCAGGGCAGACAGGTTTAAAACCAGAGATATAGAAAAATCCTTGTATGAGACGATGAAGGTGAAATCCTCAAAAAGCCGTTCTGTATTCTGTTACAAGTGGGGCTGTAATCGACCAGAATTTTTTGCTTGACCATAGACATTTCCAGTTGGTTATATGAATTGATTAAGACGGCGCGGCAAAATCTCTCAAACGAATGTAATATTTATCTTAGCTAAATTGTACTCTCAATTCAATTCAATTATGTTTTTATAGCCGTAATTCACAAAAGCATTCATATCGATGGATTTTACAAAATTGTCAATTATAAAACAGGGAATGCAATACTAAATGCAAGAAATTGAATAACACACAAACAACTGCTATCAATCAAGTATCGGGCTTAGAGCCAAATCTCCTTCTTCCATTATTTCTGTCCATTTTGAATCCTGTTTGTTTTTTGTTGGCTGTGAACATAAGCTTGAAATACATTTATTTAATTCACTTATTGATCTGGCTTGAATATCAACATACAGTGAATAAAAAACATCTGCAATTAATTTACTGAATGTCTTCTGATTGTTGTTGCTTTGACCCCTTTAAATCCTGGTAATTGACTACATTAGTCGATGGCTTATCAAAGCTGCTCTGCTTGTGTACCAGTCTCTCTACGACCTCGCACTAAAGTACATCCATGAAATGTTCCATAGCAACCAGTTCGGACGCTGATGGCCACAGGGACTGGCCTCCTGCTGGTGCCCAGAGTCAGAACTAAACATGGGGAGGCGGAATTCTAGATTCAGGCTGCACAAATCTGGAATAGTTTTAATGTTAGACAGACTTCTGCTCCTACAATATTCAAGTTGAAACCAATTAATATTAGCTCTGCACACAACAAGGATTGAATCGACACTCTTTGTCATAGTGTGGGTTTTATTTTTGTATTTTTGTGTTGTACTTCCTGTCTTGATTGTCTGCCCCGCCCTGATGTGTTTCACCTGTGTCTGTGTCTATATGTACCCTGTGCTCCTCTCCCCATGTTGCTGGTCCATTGTGTTGTTCATGTCTTTGTCTGTTCTGTTCTGCCCTGTTCCTGGTTGCTTGTGTTTTTGGATTTTTGAGTTTGTTTTCATCTGCACTTTTTTTTATTCATCATTAAATTACTTTTTTTTTGGCATTCCTGCAATTTTGGGTCCTCATCCTTCCCAGCACGTGACAGAATGGACCAGCCATCACACGGACTCAGCGGAATGCCTTTTTATTTTTTCACCACACCGGCTCCCTGTTTGTCACCAGGTTTTTATTTATTTTTTGCGGACATCCTTCCCTTCACTGCTACCTCTCGACCTGCTACCTTGAACCACCGCCAGGCAAGGAACTCCGCCTGGGGTGGTTATTTGTCCTGCACCACCGCCGGGCATTATTGTCCGTCCGGGGTGGTCTTCTGTTCCCTTCCCCTTGGCTTTTTGTGGGGTCAACAGTGAAGCTCTCGTCTGGATGTTCCCGTCTGCCTGGATTCCCCACCAGTGTCTGCCTGCTCCCCTTTGATGACCTCTCGTTCCCTTTACCTGTTTCCACCGCCAGACATTGTTCTCCGTCTGGGGTGGTTTTGTTCCCGTCTGTGTCACCGCTGGGCATTTGTCTCCGCCCGGGGTGAGCCAGTTCCGTATGGAGGGTCATCACTGGGCTTCAGCTCCGGTCCCAGATTGATTTGGACATTGCTTCGGACCTGAGGTTTTCAGCCTCTGAACTGCCTTTGGTCCCTCCGCCGCGCCCCCTCCACCCTCCCTGGTTTGTGTTTGGTTTTTTTTGGGACATCTGGGAGCTGTCCCTTGGAGGGGGGGTACTGTCATAGTGTGGGTTTTATTTTTGTATTTTTGTTTTATTTTGACATTGTTCTGTGGTTTTGGTTTTAGTTGTACTTCCTGTCTTGATTGTCTGCCCCGCCCTGATGTGTTTCACCTGTGTCTGTGTCTATATGTACCCTGTGCTCCTCTCCCCATGTTGCTGGTCCATTGTGTTGTTCATGTCTTTGTCTGTTCTGCCCTGTTCCTGGTTGCTTGTGTTTTTGGATTTTTGAGTTTGTTTTCATCTGCACTTTTTTTTATTCATCATTAAATTACTTTTTTTTTGGCATTCCTGCAATTTTGGGTCCTCATCTTTCCCAGCACGTGACACTCTTTTAACATACTGTTATTATACAGGATTCCAATGTCTTGCATGATGCTTGTTTTATTAAGCACTATGAGTTGCCTATTGTGCTGTAAAAGTAAGGTTGCCTTGCCTTAATTGACTAAACGACTAAAGGTCAACAGCCCAGTCAAACGATACTATAAAAGCTTGGAATCAGTAAAAGGGCATATATATATATGATCTATGCATATTGATCTATAGGATTATCACTCAATAAGAAAGTGAGTGATAAAAACATTCAGAACAATAAAAACAAAACACTCCATGTCCCATTTAAATCAGGAACTATTGATGTAGTATAGTATCATGTATGCCTGGATACCTTGACCATTGACACCAGCAGAATGTTTACAGCCTTACCGATAACCCGGAGCTCAGCATTGGAGTACACCTCTCCGTGCTTGTTGCCGGCCACACACTGGTACATCCCGGTATCGGAGAGGGTCAGGCGGCTGATGGACAGTGCCCCGTTGACAACCTGAACGCGCTCCTATGGACACAGACACATGACATTAATACGCTTTATATTGCCTGAACTCATCTACATAAAAGCAAGCAGCCAGTGAATCATGCAGTGGCACTGACAGACGTGGCCATAAATCTGGGTTTTCATCACTAATGGAGGAAAGGCTGGGGTGGATGGAAGCAGGCTAGCAGAAAATGACCCTAATCAATCTGTATGTTTATGAGAGGAATATAAAACCGCGCTCTATTTCTGTCTGTGGCTGGAGCATGCGGCTATTTCCCCTTCAGCGGGAGGGCAAGGAATATTGTTAACAACCAGGGTAGAGTGTACTGTGAAAATTGCTTTTGTGACAGGTATGCCCCATACATACTAAGTGCCCTGGTTATCCTTCTTCCTGTTGGCTCCAGAGACTAGAGCAAAAGCACAGAGAATTAACGCCGAACCAAAACAAGACTAATGGTACCAACAATGCGTTGTAAAGGAGAAAGACATCTATTTGTTTTAGTTACTTGCAATCAAATGGCAAATTGTGCAAAATGATGCTTTTTTTCCTATCTCCATGCAATTATGGGTTAATTTGCTCATATTTTCTAATAATATAAATACAATTGCATGATCAAACCAGACTAAAACATACAGGATGTTGTGGTCTGGTTTGATCATGCAATTTTAATTAACAAGACTCTTTCTGTTGAGACAAACAAAACACAGAAAAGAAAGCAGTGATTTGACTTTGACCTTTTTACTCTGGAAATCAGCGAACATGTTTCCAGAATTAAATCATGTTAAATCGACGCTGACATTTTAAATACCGTAAAAATCAAAACATGATGTCATAATTTCATAATCTCACTTAATGCCAATTGTAGGTGACCAAATCATATCCATGAACTGCTTTTGTCACAATCAATGCTCGCACACCGCGGATCAAACAATAGTTTTGTCGACTCCTCGGTGACCCTTTTAATGCGGTAATGAACGCTGACACCACAGTTCCACCTGCTGTCACTGAGCTTAAACCATCAGCCTGTTTCTGGATGACTAGACCTGATGAGGTGAGTTAAACTATATCAGTGAACCATGTAATCCCCCGTATGCTTCCATCGGCTTTAAATTCACTGCCGTGTTAAAAGCTTAAGCACTTTTCATACATCTGTGTCTCTGCCGCATGTCGACCCTTGCTTCATCCTCAACGTCTTCCTCAGGCGAACCGTAATGTCGTCAAAATCATTTCTGCAGGCGTGTACTCTCGTCACAAGGGATACGAGTGAAAAAGAAAAGCGATTGTCCAGACTAAAAGATCATAAAGTAATCCGCCATTAGAACACTTTATGACTTTATTTCCATAACACTGGGGTTGTTCAGGGGCAGATATCCCTGCTGGCACCAGAGCCAAATTGTCAAGTATATCAGTCTGCACTGTGGCAAGCTTTCGCGTTTATGGACGCTATTAATTAAGCTTGACGGTATTCTCAAATCAGCAGTTTTTCATTCTGGGACCTAGGGGTGCCATCTGCTCTCCTTGTGGAGTGATAGAGATGGAGATAATTTAGAAACAACACAGCTTTCTTTTGATAGGTGTACAACCATGTAAAGGATGGACTTTGTGGCAGAATGTGATTTGAAACGACTAAGCCTGTTGAATGAGATGGGGAGAAATGAGATTTGGGTACGGAGTGTTCTTGAAGTCTTATTAGATGGAACAATACTTTTCATGAGGATTTTAGGAATTCTCAATATTGAATTCTAATACAGGGGATATTTACAATGTTTGTTATTGACACCACATTATTTTCTATCTAACTGTGGGTTTCCATCTATCTATGAATCTATCTATCTACTGTATCTATCTATCTATCTAGTGTGTCTATCTACCTATGAATTTATCTATCTATCTAGTGTATCTATCTCTCTATCTTGGGTATATTTCTATCTATCTATCAACTGTATCTATCTATCTATCTATCTAGTGCAGCCATTCCCAAACTCAGTAACACCGAGGCCCCCTTAAAAATCTGACGGGTCTGCGTGGCCCCCCAAAATAATAACCAAGAAGACAACATTAAGAATAGGCTCTTCTGGTTATTTTATTTTGGGGAAATAGCCTCTGCTACAAACATTGTAATACAAAAATGATCACAGTGGATTATTCAAGTCAAATAATGAACACAAATATTTTAATATTACAAACAAAACATTATAAATGTAACATTAAATAATTGTATTATTATTATTTTTTTTTTATGACCTCCCGCGGCCCCCCTGCAGTACCCTCGCGGCCCACCAGGGGGCCGCGGACCCCACTTTGGGAGACACTGATCTAGTGTATCTATCTCTCTATCTTGGGTATATTTCTATCTATCTATCAACTGTATATATCTATCTATCTATCTCTATCTTTGGTATGTATCTATCTATGTATCTATCTATCTATGAGGTGTATCTATCTATCTATGAATTTATCTATCTATACTGTATCTATCTATCTATCTAGTGCAGGCATGTCAAAGTCAAATACATCAGAGGGCCAAAAAAAAATGTTTGCTACGCGCTGAGGGCCGGACTGGTTCAATGTTTCTCAACATCCAGAGGCAGTGCCGGTGACACCTGCTGGCTTGATAAAATATGCTCCAAAGCCAATCCTCATACTGTACATATTAGATGTAATAGACATCTGAGAACATGAAAATAGTAAAAAAAAGAAAAAGCTCAAACTTGGTGAAATGTAAAAGCAGTCTGGACCTCTTTTCGGGGCGTTTTTTGATTAAATCTGAAGAATGGATTATACTTTGGGAAATACAAGTGGATGTTCTTCTTCAATGAACAGTTACGGAGAGAAAGAGACTAAGCAAGGATGGGGAAAGTCTAATTTGTTGGAGCAGCAGAAGACGAAAGGTAAAAAACAAATACAGACTGATTTATTTTTAGTCTGATATCGTTTACACTTACATATAAATATAGCTGAGAAAATAAGCTTTAAAATGATATATAGCTTGTGGCTTATGAAGTTCAAAATACATCTGCTATTGCCTGCAGATGTATTTTTTTCCTCGTTTGCTCCCGCCGGCGGGGGCTAGCGAGCTTAAGGGGTCAATACATTGCCTCAATGGCAGGCAATGTCCCGGGGGCCATAGATAATTCATTCGCGGGCCGGATTTGGCCCGCGGGCCTTGACTTTGACACATGTGATCTAGTGGATCTATCTTTCTATCTAGTGTATCTATCTCTCTATCTTGGGTATATATCTAGTGTATCTATCTCTCTATCTTGGGTATATATCTAGTGTATCTATCTATCTATGAATCTATCTACCGTATCTATCTACTGTATCTATCTATCTATCTAGTGTATCTATCTTTCTATCTAGTTAATCTATCTCTCTATCTTGGGTATCTATCTATCTATTATCTACTGTATCTATCTATCTATCTATCTACTGTATCTATCTCTCTATGTAGTATATCTCTTGTATCTATCTATCTATCTATCTATCTACTGTATCTATCTAATATATCTATCTTGCAGAATGCTGTGGTACAATACTACAGTAACTGGGCTGTCATCTAATTTAGTCTCTGGCAAAAAAAATAAATACAATCCAATGTAAGTTCTGGCTGGATTCTTATTGAGATAAATAGAACTCAACTCCACTTGATGTTTTTATGCCTGAAACTTGAAACATGTTCCCAATTCATTATACCGTAGATTATTTAAAGTGCGGGGAGACAAGTCTATTGATTCAGTCTAATAAATAACACACAAATGGCGTTTCCTCTTCCCACTGCTCCTTACATCGCTGACCTTTAGCTCTTCCACTCATTAAGCCTGTGTGGTTAATGGTGGCATTTCAAACAATGCAACACCTTTTCTGATTAATCCATCCACCCATGGATTCTGAGCACAACTATCATTATTGGTTCTGTGTGCAGGAAATGGCCTGTGCAAAAATCAAGCCCCATCAGTCTAACCTTTAATCATCCTGCACTAACATCGAACACTGAGCTCATTTAAGCTTTTTATCATCTCAGCTATTTGAACTGTAAATTCAACCTCCAACAGATTAATTCATGCCCTTTTAAACACAAATGTCTGATGATTCCGAGTAGGTTTGGTTTGATTTATATATTCATGTCAAACATGTATAAAGGGGACATTAGCACCAAAACTATGCTGAGTTTGTATGCATATTAGACACATGTTTGGAGAGGACTCTTGGTGAAACTTTAGTTGTAGATCCCGCCTCTTTTCCACATTATTGATTAGAACATTTCACCTGTTTGGCCTTTAAATAAAAGTATAGAAGAAAGAAGCAAAACCAGCAAACAAAAAAAGCAACAAAAATGTATATATTTAATGTTTCCTTTCCTTAGTCCTTAAAAGACACATGTCCCCTGAAGACTGAAGTTTGTAATAATCTTAAACATTCTTTTACTGAATGACATAATCCTACTGTTCCATAAAGTTACTCGCAAACTGAAGCACAACATCTCTGTCTCCGTGTCTTCACATAGGAAGACTTAACATTTGTTTTGTGTCTCAGATAAACATTTTTTGAATATTTGCAGATAGTTATAGTGTTTGATGATTCACTAAATCCACACATTTCAATCATTTATACTTTAGAAAGAGTGAAATACTATGATCCAGATGGCCTGCATTGTGTATACAGCTCTCTCTCACTAATGGCTGCAAATTGTTTTGGTAATTATTGCCGCAAACTTCAGCACAATATGAATTAATGAGAAACAATTTGGCAACAATAAAGGTCGTATAATATAATTTTCTATATGAGGCTGTGAAGGTTACGTTTTTAAGGTGGAGCACGAGAAAACACTATTTTTATCATTGGATCAGACTTAAAAGTGATGTCGGCAACTTCAATTGTATTTTAGTTTTAGGTTCAGGTTCAAGTGATACATTGAATTCAGACCTTTGCATAACCAGGACCTGTACGATTTGCTGAAGGGGAATTGTTTGACCAATAGCAATGATTTAAATTTATTTCATCCAATCAGGAAGCTTTGGGGGCGAACATGGGTGTGTCTAACTGATAATTCCTTATTCACAATTTCAAAAGTAACTGACTTTACCTGTGATTATTGAAGGCCAGTTCTGGAGCCGGATTATTGCAGGTATAATGCATCAGTACATTTGAAGAATATGAACATGGAGTATTCTGACAACATTTGTATATGCACAGTAACTTGAGAAGCTTAAACCTGCACTGTCTATAGAAACAGTGTAGACTTTTATGCCATTCAAGGGGAATATGGAGTAAAACATACATCCAAGAATAAGATAGCATTGTTTTCTTTCTCTAGAATAACATATGGATTCAGCAAACACCAGGCTGAACGTGGTCCTTGTTCTCCTTCTTGATCTGCTGTTAGCAGCCTGACAGCTCTATATGCAGGGGCACGACTGTTTCACTTTATACGCTGTGCTCACAGTTTACACAGCAGCTAGAGTCGAGTCAATAAGCAGATATTCTGTAATGGTAAAAGTGTTTTTCCGTTTCAGTGCAGTTCAGGTTCTTTTGTGCTATTGTAGACATTGATAGATATTTTAACAAGAAAAAGTACAATCCCAAAGGCTCTTCTAAAACATCTGTGTAGCATTGCACCTGACAGTTCACTGGGAACCGTCCCTATTCTATCCTGAAAATAAAGAAGACAGTGATTATGAGAAATATGAGGTGATATACTGTAACATATTAAGGATTGGGACGGCCCAGGGTAATCGGATCAGGAAACAAAACGTTCATAATTTGTTGTGGTTAGGTGCCCCAGTCTACAAAAAATAAAAAATAAAACATATTTTGAACTGGAACCCTTACTTGGAATTGATTACACCCTGGATATTACTGCTGCTCAGTAATCCTGTAGTTTAACAAACATTTAGAACTAATACAATACTGTCAATAAAACAGTATTAACAAATAGATGGATCGAGGAGGTGATTGAAATCAGAAAGTGGGCAATGGCAGCAAAAACTCAGGAAGTGTCATCAGCTCAAAAGTGACACGTTACCAAGGTGACAGTTCTGTGGATGCCTCAGCAGCACAAACATGATACAAGTGAAACTCGCCTCTCTAGTAATGGGCTCAATATGAACTCAAGTTGTTGAAAGTATAAAGTAATGCTCACAACAGCATTGCTAAACATTCAAATACTGAACAATATCCTCTAGCGACCTTGTTTGCATAATACCATTAATCAGCATAATTCTTGTTTAGTTGTCAGCCCATGATGCACCTGGATGTCTAATCACTTTTCTACAGCAGTGCTTCCCAACCCATCTTTTACCCGGACACGAGTACTCCCTGTTAAGTCTCAGTGGAGAAATGGACTTGTTTTATCTGTTCACTTTGGGTTCACAGCTGCTGCACCCCTTCCCCCCTGGACAAAATACTACGTCTGAACATCAAATACTGAAGTTATACAGGCATGAACTTTTGTGAAGTGCTGAAAGAAAGTGCTTTTTGACAGCTGCAAAGCCTTTATGACGATCCTAACCTCAGGTTCAAGGTGTCATCTCAAGGGTTTCCTGAACATTTCTGACAAATCCTACAAATTCAGTTAAGGTGCAAAATTACAAACGTATCAGAGTAAACTCACATCACACTTCAGTAGTCAAAGTTCAGATTGGAAGTGAGCAGATTGAAACAGCAGTGACCTGTCTCTCATGAAGCTTCCATTGATGGGAAATTTGATAGACGACTTTTAAATGTAAGATTGATAATCATAGTATTCATTTAACATAGAGCTGTTCGGAATCACAGCATATTACCAGAACATGAAACATCCATAATGGAGAGAATCTCAAAACAAAGCTGTCACTGTCTAATTACAACAGCATCCGTGCGACAATCAGCATGATATAAGTTATACAAACTGCTAACATCTGTGAGATTAAACTGCAGAGATACACATATGGTTTAGATTGTTTTACGTATGTCTATTTGCTCAGTCTCACAATATAGACAACTTACATTATCATCTGCTAAATCCTCTTCAAAAATTAATTACAGAAAGTAATATTGATATAAAGTCACAGTGTATGTTTCCACTGTATTTGCCAAAAGTTGTTGTGTTTTTTAAGCTCAGGCCATTCATAATTGATGTGTACAGCAGCTTGTTGTTTGTACAGTGCTTGCTTAAGGATGAAGCGTTATGGCCGCCTCACCTCAGTGGGCTCCAGGTTCTCTCCGTTCTTCATCCAGCGGTAAGAGGGTTTGGGTTTCGCTGTGGCTTTACACTCCCACACCAGAGAGTCATCGATGAGCTTCTGCACGTCCTGCGGCTTCTCTGTCAAATGAGGAGGAGCTGGAACAGATACAGGAATAGTGAGGAATCCTGACAGAAAATAAAATAAATGTTAAAATGTGTTGGATTAACATGCAAGTTTTTGATTCATTTCATTTTTAGCAACTGATGCTTCCGGTGACTAAGTGAGAATTCTCAAAATAGGCAAATATGAATACAGATTTTTTTTTAATGGTATACATTATTATATTGTTTGCATAAATAATTGTGGCGTAGCCACATCTCATTCAGCTCCGCCCTGATTGGCTGGCGGTCCACCCAAAAGCAGAGCAGGTGTGCTGATGGCGCTCTCCCTCCAGCCCTCGACACACTGGTCCCGACCACGTTCTGGGACAGACGTGTCAGGCCAATGCCACTCGGTTTTTTGTATGATTTGATTTCACACGCACTTGCACCCAACACGTATATTGACACATAAGGTTATCCTACTGATATTACTTGCATTACACGCAGCCACTCATATTACACTTACACTGACCGCAGTAATATATTTATTAGTGCTGTCCAAAATATTGCGTTATTAACGCGTTAACGCAAATCAATATTAACGGCGTCATTTTTTTTATCGCGCAATTTTTTTTTTTTACTTTTTATTGCAGACAAACACATATACAGAAAAAAAAATAGAAACAAAGAAAAGGACTAGTTCAGATACATTGTAGACAGAGATTACAAACAATATGTAGTTGGAGATACAGGGGGCCAAAGAAGAAACCCAGAAGGGCACATAGGAGGGGGGGGGGGGGGGGGGGGGGGGACATGAAGTGGGAGATGGGGGGGAGGGGTTAATAAAAAAGGCAATACAAGCAAACAGTATACAGTCATAGATATACCGAAAGTAAACAGAGAAACAGCATAGAGTATTTACATGAACAAATATACAAAATATTAAAAAAAGCAATTGCACACAGCACGCCTATTCACTTTTTAGTAGTATTAAAATGATAATTCAAGGGACATAAAGAATAGATACAAATGTGTGACTAATTTGCGATTAATCGCGAGTTAACTATGAAATTCATGCGATTAATCGCGATTAAATAATTTAATCGTTGGACAGCACTAATATTTATATTATTATTATTATAATTTGTAAATAAATGCCAACAGGCTTAAAATCTGGTTATGGTGTCGTTCCCCCTTTTTCCTTTGTTGCAGCCATCGAGCTGGGCTGTAACGATATCATTATGGTATAAAGAGGACGATAATAAAGGATGGAAGTAGGACAAACGGTTTGCTCCTCCAAGTGAATTTTCTGATCGGATGAACTTAATTCAAATCCTTGAACTGAGGTCTGTCGCCATTGGTGTAACTATTCTCCTCTGAAACTAATACTGGAGGTTTGGCCAAAGGGAGGAACTGCTTTTAAACTACAATTTTTGGAAAATACTAGTAGGTGGTCATATGATACTTCATTTAGTTTTTCTTTATAACAGTTGTACTCAATAGAACTCAATAGAACTTAGGGAAATATATTGATTTTGAGATGTTTAGTTTTACATCCCCTCTGAAGTAAAGTAGGTGATAAATATGCCATTACATTACATCGCATTGATTATGATGGCGTAAATCCAACCTATTCAATACAATCTGAGTAAATTATTGTATAATTAACCCGGGGGAGAGCAGATTTATGCTGTATGTCACAGCAAACTCAAGGATGGTTAACATTTATGTGCGGCCACTGGAGGGGTAGGACTGTGTAGGTCAGAGTGGCAGGAATAATGGCTGAGAACACTTTTCCATTCATTGCACTTCAGCAAATGCCACTCTCAAGGACTTGCGTCTGTGAGAGCCCCACACGACAGGACCAACTCCTCTAATTACCTTCTTCTGCACTGGATTTCACCTTTGATTTAAGTGGAGGGAAAACCAATAAGTGCAAATGTATTTACATAAATGTCCTAGATCATCACAGGACATTAATGTGCAAAGGAAGACACGAGTGTGTTAGTCTAATATTTAAGTACAGTCAACTACATATATGCACGAGTTATGTTGTAACAGGAAAGAACATTTGATCAATGCATTTGCAAGCTGAAGTGGACACCTGTGTAACTGGTCCTTACAAGGTACAGTGATGCTGTCTGGTCAGATACAATTGGTAGAAAAACAACAACCTACTCCATACCTACTCCTACTCTAGTCCTATGCCGCTTGGTGTTCCTTAATCACTAATCATGTTAATATAAGAGAGGGCAGCACAAAGGGCTGGGAAGGTGCAGTGGGTGCATAGACTGTAGGAGTGGACTAACTGAGTGCTGACATCACCTGCAGACAAAGCCAATTAGAACTACTGTAACTCAAAAGCGCTCCATGGGCGGGACTTTGAAGCCAAATTTGTGGGTAGCAACAACCTAATCACTAAGCATGAATATGCCCCCTTCCTGCTACTCATGAGTTTAAAGACCTTATGACGGGTTTGATTTATTTAGAAATACAATTTTAATACCATTTTATATTAGAAGAGAACTACTAAAGGTTTCAAAATCAGTTGTTGTTTTTTTTGTCTGATCCCCCCAAATCGAAATAACCCCATAGCAACGCCCTTAGAAACGAAAAAACTTCACAGCCCTTGGTGACGTCAGAACGGGTACGTTTCAATGCTGTAAGTTGTTTACAATTTGGTATTCGTTCTTTTTTCGCGGATCTTCAAGATGACAAGGCCGTGTTCAGCGAGTCTAAGATAACTACTAGAATGTGTCATTTTGTTGTAACTGAGACAGTCCAGTGGTTGTGTCGATGGACTGTCAATGCAGATACTTGGGTTCAAATCCCACCTCAGACACTTTTTCACACTCAAAGCGGCAATTTATGTGTAGTGAGCAATTGTCACCTGTAGAGTGCAGTACTGTGTTGGGCATCAGTGGAGAGAAGAGAGAAAAGGCAGTCCTGTGGCATATATCCATGGTTTTCAATGCATGGGCGTAACCCGCTATGATGTCACGCACAGGTTAGAGCATAGACAACTTAAATTCATGAAAAACACGTTCTTTTTATAAAATATAGGATTTTTTTTGCCGGAATCTCTTTCAAATTGACATTGTCATGCAATTTTGATATCCACTATTTTTTTTTTTAAAACCCGTCATAAGGTCTTTAAGCTAATTTCAGGGACAAAAGGGACCTGATTGGTTGTTGTTGTCCTGGATTTACAAAGATTTAAATGGGAAGCAAGTTAAAGCCAAACCTTGCCCATGAGCAGTTCCGTATTAGGCTTCATTGAGTCAGCAGGTTAGCACTGTCAAAATATACTGTATACAGTCTAAGGTGGGTTGTTACACATGTTCTGCATGCAATATAAAATGTAACAGCCCCTCACACTCCACCCCCCCCCCCCTTTCCTGCTGCTCTCTTTTCTCACGGTTAGAGGGTTCTCTCCGTCACCCAGTGCACACATATCGACTCTCACTCAACACAGCTAAATGAAAGCAGGCAGCTCATCTCTGCGCCATGGAACCATGCAGGTATACAATTAGGCCATGCACCCAGTGAGCCAAGCAAGCCAGAATGCTGATTTCCCAGACAGTGAAATACAGTATAGGCTCTGTACAACCGACCAAATCTACCGTTTATGATTCAAGAGCAAGAATACAAATGAAGAGCTTGTGTTAACATAATTTTAAGCAACAGCCATGCAGTCATGGCAGGGACATAATCTGGTTCAGGCACAGTGGAACTGGGCGCAATGACTCATGTTTCTATTTGTATTGAAAACGATCAATATCCTGTGTAATACATTATAACAAATGAATATATTAGTTGGAAGGAATCAGAAAAATATAAAAATCCTCAGAACGCCCACATCCACAACAACACAATCAAGGTGAATTATGAGTTAACAAGGAGTTGAACACTTGACTTCTATAATAATCCAACACAATTTCATATGATCTTTTGCGACTGAAAATAGCATTTACAAAGATCAACAATAAATAAGTGTGAATTTTACTTAAGTTTTTGACTCCATGAAAGTTGGGAAAAGTTTCATTGCCAAATGTCACCGTGTACAGCATCTCGTCCGGGTGACATATTGAACAGAAGTGAATCCTTCAGCAGTGACTATTGTGGCGGCCTTGAGTACAATCTTCATCTCTCCTGTTCGGCACAAAGGCCAGCTTTCATTCCACTGTAGGCTGCCTGGTTGTACCAGAGATAACCTTATCGATCGCTCCATTGGCTTATACTGCTGACAAATGTCTCAAAGGCTTCATTTCAAAAGGGGTTTTCAAAATAAGATTACTGATTTTTATCACTGGGCAGCAGACAGGCAAGAGTGATAAAACAAATCAAAATGTTCTTCAAAAAGGACAAATCAAGGGATAATAAAATCCAAGCAAACTGCCCATATTTTAAAATAAGCCACAACAATGAAGAGGCAATAATGTAAATAATAGAAAGTTAAAGGTGACCATGTATGAAAAATCATCCAGATCGACTTAAAATTGACCAGGGTAGTCCAACTAATCTCATGGGAGGAGCCTCTTTTACATAATTAAAGTGGTAGGGGAAACCATGCCTGGAGTCGAACCCATGCAGGACCTTATTGCTGTGAGGCGAGAGCACTTGCCACTCTTTGCAGTTCAAAAGATTTGATGGTATTATGGTCAGAGGAGACATTGCTGCCCCTGGCTCTTCTGACGACCACCACACGCCACGGTTCTTTGTGGCACTCAAACGTGAACGGTCAGCCAGGCAGAATACCTCATGTCCTATTGATGTCCTGCTCTCGTCCTGCATGTTTACTGTGTCTTCCTACGTATCTATATGTATTCATCTTGCTGCACCAAAATCCCTGTTTGTCTTTATAGTGTTCTAACAATGGAAAAAGAAAAAAAAAACATTCTGATTCTGGAAGTGTGTGTTCTTTTATTTGACAATTCAAGGTCAATATTGAGATTTAAAATATACAAATATAATAAAAGGCCATGGATAATTGGGTGTATAGATAGAGCCTGCAAATGTTCTATATACGTGTGTTCTTAAATACCCTAAATACAAATTGGGCCAATGGGCTTAGATCAGGAGATAGATGGGTTAAAAGCAAAACTATCAAGAGCATTTCAGCTTGAAGCACTCTAACATATACATCCCTGTGCCATCTGTCTGTTTTCAGTCTGAATTAGCCAAACCAGTAATGTTCCCACAGCTAGTACATGGAGTAGCACAAAGTTCACACAACGGTTGAAAAAAATAACATCTTGGAACGTACAATTTCCCCAAGGACCCATTTGCGCTTTTGGTAAAAGTATAACTTATATATTCAGAGTCAGGCTTTAAATAAAAAGTGGTCTCTTCTTTGTTTTATAGACGTCATGCTATTATCACCTAGATTTGAAGATAAAAATAGGCTATCATATAGATTAGCATGTCATCTAACTAAAACCAGCCTGTTTTCAGAGAATCATTATTCTTACACAATGTATTCATAAAAATTCTAGCCAAAAAAAGTGAAAATTTGTTTGTTTTACAAAATGTCACTTCTCATCAATAACTACAACATGTCAATGTGCTGTTTGTTTTTGCAGAACTGAAAAGAATAGGGAATGAGTGATTTGTGATTGCTGTTATTCAAATGTCATCTCTGCATAATTAAAAGCTATTTTGGTCATAATGAGCTGCTGATGTGCGTATAATTGTGTATAATTTGTCTCACGAACTTCTAGTGTTTTAGTATTGTGGCTGTCATGTTGGTCTATGGCTTACTTTTTTCATGATTCTGTATTTTGCTTTAACATAAATTGGCCAGATGTTGTTGCAGCCATCACCAGAAATATGAATATCTTCTTTACTGAATGAATACAGTACTTTCTGGGACTATAAGCCGCTACTTTCATTAACTTCTGTGAACTCTGTGACTTTATAGCAATGTGGCTAATACAGGTATTTTGCTAGCCCACCGCTAGCACAGGAACAGATTTGACACAGATGTATCAGCTGCAGATCTCCAGAACTGAAGTAGCATGTGTGCTTTTTGTGTGTTTATTTCAGTTAAATTCAATTAAATTTACTGTATATTTGTATAGCTCTAAATCACAAAAGCAGTTGTGTGAACCTTTAATCATCAGTGCATAAACTCTGTTCTGACTCTACCACAATAAAATGCATACATTAGCTGCACCGTTATATAAGTAGTATATAAGTATCGTCTGGAAATCACTGTACTTTATTTTAAAATGTAGCTGGTGCGGTTTATATACAGCTATGCTCAATACTCCGGTACGTACTGTACTGTAGCTATTTTGAGTTTGGGCACATGTGTTGAATTAACATTTTAAAAACCAAACAACCAACATCATATATAACAGTCCCAATATAACGCCCCCTAGAAAGCAAAACGACCTTCAAGGGGAAGAATCAGGTCAAGTATAGTATGAGCTGATTCAGACATGTTCTTCTTTGGATTCATACGTTCAGTTTCACTCATGATAAAATAAAGATGCAAAAAAAAGGATAAACCATCACTACTTCTCCTCTGTGAGCATGCCTGGCTGCTTCTGAGTTTGAACCGCCCTGACAGAAGTAGTCGGTGCCAGTCAAATATTCATGCTGTGCTGACCTACCGTAGAAGAAGAGTTTCCCTTTGACAGTGTTCATGCCGCGGGAGTTCTCGGCCACACACTCGTACGTGCCCGCGTCCTCCAGCTGGAAGTAAGGGATTTCCAGGACTCCACTGGCCTTCCTCATGTCCACTTTTCTGGGGAAGGGCACTCCATCTGCCTTCCTCCAAGTGATTGACGGTACAGGGCTAAACAAGAGACACATACATCACTGTAATAACAATAATATAATGATAGACCATTTTATTTAAAAAAACACCCAAGGACACTGTATAAACATGGGAAAAAACAGTGAAAACTACAGTAAATAAAAGTATTACAACGAGATGGCTCAGTGATACCTGGACAAGAAGATTCAATTTCTTCATACAATTTATAGAATGGAAAAGCTCATATATTCAATGAGACTTGAACTGGACAAATTTCATAAACACTGGGAGGCTTGGAAGTTGTTTGTTGCTCCACATAGATTTGATTTCTAAATATCTGATGTAGCCACTATTTTATATTTTAATACATTTTGTTTTTTTGTTGGTTGTTCTTGTTTTTCATTTTAAGATGTTTAAATGAAAATAATATAAGACAAAAGGAACTTTGTACGTGTGAAGAGTTGAATTCATGTACAATTTTCGATCGTCCAAAAAAACAAAAAAACAGTGTAATTAATGTGAAGGAGGTCAGACAGGTCGTGTGGAGCCAGGTTATGGAGAGCTTTGAATGTGGCGAGGAGGATTTTTAAGTTGTTCCGTTGTTTTAAGGGGAGCCAGTGTAAGTGTTGGGGCATTTTACCCCGGAAAACGGTGAACGAGGGTACCGTGTGCGTTCTATCAACCGTGATCAGTGCAGCAAAAGCACTCCATAATGATAATCTGCACGCATACATTTTAACTGATTGGATTGGGACTAGGGCTGCACGAGTTTGGCAAAACATCTAATTGCAAATATTGGATTCTGTTCAAATTGCACTTTTGAGAGAAAACAACAACACATACCCGTGCATTTTGTCTGAGCCAGTGATTTTAAATCTGTTTGGAGTCGCACAACAGCCACTTAAATCCTCAAACAAATTGCTCAACTACAAAGCACACTACTGCACGCATGTATATAATGGTGGCGTCTTATCAGGGGCACAACTTACGGAATATTTTGCTGGAGCACACACAAAACTGTGAGCCCTATCTCACTTTTCGGTTTGTCGAAATCATGTCATGCTCCCATAAACAGGAACTTTTTGTGGGACTCTCTCTTTTTCAATTGTTTGTACTTGTTGTGGAACTGGTTATCAATGATCTAATACAGTGTCTACCAAAGTGGGGTCCGTGGCGCAGGTATTGCAGGGGGGGCCGCAAGAGGTCATTAATTTTTATTTTTTTTTATATAATTATTGTATGTTAAATTAATAATATTTTGTTTGTAAAATTAAAATATTTGTGTTCATTATTTGACTTGAATAATCATATTGTAATCATTTTTGTATTGCAAAATGGGATGCATCATTTTTGTAGCAGAGGCTATTTCCCCCAAATAAAACAACGTGATGAGCCTATTTTTAACGTTGTCTTCTTGGTTATTATTTTGGGGGGCCGCGCAGACCCGTCAGATTTATCGGCCGCGGTGTTACTGACTTTGGGAATGGCTGCTCTAATATGTTGAGTAACTGTGTGTTTTTTGCTATACCTGTCACAATTTAGCTTTAGTGCTATTTCCAAAGTAATAAATCCAGCAACTTTCAGAAGCTGTTTACTGACACGTTGATGAATACGTACGGTCCAAATTTAAACCAAGGAAATACACAAAAAATAATATTGGTTTTGTATTTGCTATGAGAAAATTGGGTTTCAAAGGTAATTTTGTTGTCTTTTCAGGTTATGACATCGAAATTGTACACTCCAAGATTGTGAATAATGTGTACATTGTGTGTTCAGATGTAAATTTGATGCCTAGCTGTTTCCAAAGGACGTCAAATAATTTCAGTTTCAGCCATTTTGATTCACTTCTTGCTACCCTAGATGCGTTATATGAATGTGAAGCAACACTCGGAAAACACAGTGTATGATTGTCCTTTTGGTCAATCTTTGTCCTTCATAGACTGAACGACATGTCAGTTTAACTATTAACAATGAGCCCTCAGCAGCTGAAGCTAGTAAACATCTTGAATTGGTATTTTGTACTTAAAAAAGTCAATAAAGAACTCAGTTTATCCCACACCACAAACCCCAAACTATTATTGTGATGTTTCAGTCATCGCCGTGCGCTCTGTGGAGAATACACATTTAAAGTGAACTTCCCTCAACTCCTGTGAGCTCTCACGTCTAATTTCTTGGATGCACAGCCGGTCTCCAAACACAAGCCGTATGTTTTAAGGCAGGCAAAGTGGTGAAGCGCATTAATAAAACATGTCTGCGCTTCTCTAGTCAAATTCGGTCTTTTATATTGCAGTGAGCATGCTGGGTCGGACGCAGAGCACTTACTTTCCCAGGGCAAAACATTCTAACTTCACCGTGGATCCTTTGGCAACATGTACCACCTCAGGAAACTGCACCTCGATTTTGGGCTCGTACTCTCCCATAACTCCTGAAAAACAAGGGGGAATGAATGTTCAAGCTGCTGCAGTGTTGTTTACAGAACTGAGCATGTCGTACTGCTCCCGAACAACTTAAGGAGAGGTTTATCGCTGGGCTAAACTCTCTCAAAATGTCAGTTTTTATGGTGGTTTGAGTTTACTTCCATAAATAGTATTTTTAGCACTATTTGGCACACATACAAGTATTTCATTATATTCTGGTGCGTCCTAATGCATGTATCAATGTCAGTTATGGAATTGTAGCTAGGTCTGTAATCTAGCTACAATTCCATAACTAACTGATTAATGTTATAACTGACATTTTTTAAAATGACTTTAGATGTTACTTAAGCTATACTGTAGATGTAATAATACAATTGAGTAAGTCAAAATGTTATACTTCTTTATTATGTTCAAGATGGAGATGTTATACTTCTCTGATGCTACAGATGTTGTTTTACTTGAATTAGTAAAGTTATTGTTCACTTATCTTGTGCAATGTGCTGTTCTGTAACTTGTGATGAAACATTGAAATTTCCCCACTGTGGGACGAACAAATAATCTCTTAATCTTAAATAATTGAATGAATTTACCATGTTTGACTGTTTTGAACTAAAAAATGGTTACAGCTATTGCACTTATTGAGTTTATACAGTAATGTTTGGTTTACCTAAATATCTGGTTGTTTTGTTTAACTTCAAAATTGAGGTAAAGAAAAATGACATTTGTTCTGCATTGTGCCGATGTATAAAAGTAAACCAAATATAAACACTATCGTTGCATCTTCTGGTCAGATGTAACTAATGCTGCAAAAAAATATGAATTGCATATAATATAAGATCCATACTGATGCTGAATGGGAAGAGACCTCAACTGCAGGTTTTCATATACAGTATACTCTGAGCTTCTGCTTGAGATGAGAGCCATCGTCTCAGCTGTGAACCATAAAAGCCCCTGGGAACTGCCACCGTCTGCTAAGCATCACTTTGACAAGCGCAATAGCACTAAAGCTCCATGGGCAATTGTTGCTTTGCATGCAAAATACTCACCACTACTCACAGATATACTGAATACAGAATTCATGTGCTGGTTGAACCAAGACAAAACATTTAGAGATTGTATGATTATTAGACCTTCAAAAATCAAAGATGTGAGAGATGTCAATATTGCAAAATTGTGAAATCAGGCCTATGCTTCTCAGGGCTAAGGCACAACATTGATTCGATTTGAGATGTCAGCGTCTGTGTGACATTATTTTTCTGTGTGACATTATTTTTGTGAAATTGTATTTTCAAATTGTGAGTTCTTCCTCATTTGAGTGGAAAACCCAAATGAGGTACAGTTTCAAGGAACTGATTCTGGACTGGTTCTGGTCCTAACCGAGTTATGTTGGTTTTCTACCAGAGAAGAGCAAGTTCTGGTTACCATGGCAATACATGGTGTTATACTTGCCAATGTTAGCTTTTCTACAAACTGTTTTAGATATACTGTACTCAACACTTTTAGCATTTAGTAGAAGTGATTAGTACACAAATACCAATGGAATTCTGAGAAATTCTGCCCAAAACATGTTTAGTTTTCCAAAAATGTTTTGGGGGGAATTTCTCAGAATTTCATTGGTTTTAATGGGAGCAGTCAAAATGTTGGTTCTGGGAGTCTTAGTGTTAAAACCAATTTAAACTCAAAATTGTCCATTGTCGGGTCAAAAAACTTCAGGATTTGACTTTTTAGCCATATTGCCCAGCCCTAGTTAGTATCATGTTAGTTTTTTACATTAAAATGGCTAAAAGAATCTGCATTTCATATTTCAGATCTACTTTAAAGGCATCTCAAATTGTGTATAAAAATATGTGCAGCTGTTTATCATCGTTAGTGTCCCTGTTTCTCTCAAAGATTCCGATGTTCCACTCTTATTCTGGCTGTGGTAGCATCACTGAATGCCCTTAAGCCCATCTCATCCTCCTCTGTAACAATAGCCCCGTCCTTGGCTGTAATTCACGGCTGTGGCACACAAATAACTGAGGATATGAAGCAAACAGGCCAATTTGGTGTGGTTGACGTGGCGAGGCATTTGCAATAGGATGGTCCACGAGAGAATGTGGAACCTAATTCAGATCCTTATCACAAGTGCCTCATGGTGGATGTGAGCTCAGAGCGATCTGCCTGGAGGAGACAGGGGCAAGTGGCTGCGTAATTGTGCCAGAACAGAGCCTTATGGAGGGAACACCTGCCCAATCACATGACACCGGGGCTGACAGGGCCCAGGCGATGAAGAGGAAAACCATGGGAGATAGGAGCGTGGAAGGAGAAAGAATGAGAATAACTCCTAGCTTTAAAATAGAATAGAATGATTCCTATAGCTAACCATAGGGAACATTTTATGCTGGCTTTAATAAATATAAATCAAATACTTTGACATGCAAAAAGTCTGAAAAGTATATTTATTTAAGATCAGTCAACACAAGTGAAAGAGCACAAGATTACAAAAACTATAATCGTTGGATTGTATGTGGTTCATGAATGAAATGTATATACATTTGGGTGGCAGCTCTCATTACCACCCCCCCAACCCAGAAATGGACTAGCAAAAGGGGTTTGAAAATTAATTAATGAATGAATAGAATGTACCAAGTCGCAGCAGGTGGTTGTTCATCTTAACTCAGATTAAATGTATCACATAGGATTCAAGGAAAGTTAACCACATCACACGTCAATAATGTACAAGAACAAGCCTTGGACAATGCATAAATGTGTTAATATTTAATACTATGAAACACACAACACAGTGCTTTCTTTCTTTCCTCTGTTTTGGAATATTTTTTTTACACAGCACTTTGCCTACACCTCAAAGATAAGATCCATGTCGGTCCAGTATTTATTTGATTTTAGGCTGAAGGGTCTTCAATATGTTTTGTCTTGTGCATTCTTTTACTGTAATGTTATGGCAAGATTGTCCCACAGCAGAGTCTGTGTGTTTGTTCTTGATAATCCAAATCTGATCTTTTAAGCACAGTTTAACCACCTTTGTATTAAGGAGATATATTGCTTAAAGTGATAGTCTGTAACTCTAAATGAATCACAAATTTTAGGAAATGTGTTAAATTGACCTCCTGGCCTTAAATGTTGATATAAAATAAGTAATTTTATTAATTCTAATATTACGGGCAAGTCCTGCCTTCCCTTCTCTTAGCTATAGTTCAGAATCCACGGTGCCGTCGAGGTTAACCAATCGAGTCATGCCAAGGGATGTCAATCATCAGCGCTGATGCTCGTAGCTGCTCATGCTCAGTTGTTTGTTTTCGCGGAGCCTCCGAATCAAGCCTCTATTAGGCTCTGGAACAACATGAAAACTGAACAAAGAATTCTGAACATCTGCGCTGAGTTACCCATTTATATACTGAACCTATATCCAAAATCAGATCCTCTGCAGAAGTGTCCTATAATGTGCAATTCATAATAATAGCTTGTTCCGGGTTTGCCGCGATCGCTTTTTTTGTTCATAAAAACATTATTTTTTTCATTAAAACGTTAACCAATAATTCTGAAAACCTCTGTGCATGTGTATTAATAATGTATATGTATAATGTGTTCTCTGATTAACATTTAAAAGTGTTGCGGAAACGTAGACCAATCAGAAAGGAAGGGGGAGGAGCTTGCGCCGTTTTTTTCAAATCAAGCACCTCTCTGTCTCTCTTTCTGACAAACTCCAGACAATCACTTTAAGAGATGAACGGAAACCTGGAGATCTTTTTCCTAAAGAGATGAGACAGAGGAGCATGGAAAAGGCAGCCGGAGGGCATGAGGACAAATTCAGAGCGGATCATCGGGTTGTCTTTGAGTAGCTTTAGTCCTTTACAAATGTAGAACCATGATTGCCTTTGTATTAAAACTGTCATTGCCGACCGATTTCACAGTGTCAATTGTTTACTGTTTTTTGTATTTTTTTATCTGTTTTATTTATGTACTTGTCTTGTGCACACTGGGGACTTTTGCAAATGTATTCCAATGTGGTTTTACTGCAAATGGCAAATAAAATAATCTGAATCTGAATATGCAAGATCCTGTTCTCCTCCTAAACCAAACCACAATAAAAAATGTTAAACTAGAACATGCCACAGAATCTCCTTTTAACACATAAACATGCATATTGATGACATACAAAAGTACACGGTGAACAGTGCATGGGTTTCTCTCTGATGATGCAAAGCGTACCTCCATAAACTCTTAATACATCGAGCTTGTGATCCCTTACCGATTGCTGGGCCGCCCATTTAAGAATTAAGACTGTATTTGAAACATGTAAACGGAGTCCAAATATTACAATTATACACTGAGACGCTCATGTGGGAACTTGTATCCAAAACACTATCCAAAAATAATAATATGCGTGTAGTGGAGAGGGTTGATGTCTGAGATATATCCCTGTGAGAATCTAATCTGCATGCAAGACTTGCAGCAGTGCCTTGCAAAATATTGACACAGCTTGGAACTTTAGCACATTTTGTTTAAGTTTACAACCATTAGGCAGTGAAAGATTTGATTTAGATTTTTGTTTTTTATTCTGAAAGTAAACTGACAATTGAAGCAAAAGTAAAATTATACACAATGTCATTTTTAAGGATGAAAAAAAAAAAAAACGGGCCAGTGTCCCCCGTATTACTTCTAGCAAACTTCAAACAGGATTTCTTGTGGCCTCGCTTTCAATATTGTCTGTCTTCTGCTACTCCTCGTCGTATAAAGGCAATTTTTGTAGAGTCTGACTGACCAGATTCCCCCAGCTCAGTGGCAGTACTTTGGCAAGCAGTCATCTGGGACAACTTGGTTGCCCAGTCTCTGAACCATGCACTGCTTGTTTGATCGGTTAGTTAGGTAAGCGGCTTGTCTTAGCAAGAGAGGTGTGGCACCCCCTGTGATCTTACCATTTCATATGATGGATCGTAGATGTTCAAATCTTGTGTAGCACACTTTCTTCCGGACCTCTGTGTTGGCTCCTGAGCCCTATGATTGATCTTGTTTAGTGACCAATACACTCTGGCCACCTCTGAAGCCCTCACAGAACAGCTGTATTTACGCCACCGGTGGTCTCATTTAAATAACTAGGGAAAGGTGTGAACGTCATGCAGTTATCATAAAATGTTTTAAAAAGACAATTATAATGAACAGCATTAGCCAAGCCATGTAGAATGCTTTTGTTGCAGGCCATAAAAATCGAAATCAAAATCTTAGTTTGTGGTTTTAAACCTGTGCTGCAAGTAAAGACCTGAAGCTAATCAAGTCAGAGCCTGGTTGTTCTCATGATGTAAAGTGCCAAACTGGAGCCTCGCTCCCTAAGGACAAGGCACTTTTCACCCACATGTGGAGGTCTGAGGGACAGATGGCACATAATGGTGCCTCTGTTTTTCTCTGTATGCCCCAGGGCAGCAGTGGCTACAAGAGCTAGTTTTATTCGCTCACCCCTATACACAGTGAAGAAAATCACCAATTACAAAAAAGCTACAATATTAAATGTCAGAGATTTTGGTCCTGTCTGCTTCTTGATCCATTCTCATTCCCCAGATCACTGACCCCTTCCAGCCCCAGGTACGAGGTGCCTATAGAGGTGCCCCCCACAGTCACTGAGAAGGCCTTAGTCCGCAATATGTGCTTGGAGGCTGACCAAGGAGCCGTTTGGAGTCGTTGTAGGGCGGGCCATCCACTGGAACGCTTCTGTGAGTGACCCAGGGGCAGAATGAGTGATATTTTTTGTGTCCTTAACGTTGATTCACTGAATCTGATGTGGTGTTATTCAATGGTTTTTTGTTAAGTCCGCTGCGATGACTGCTGTGGTGATTTTAGGCTAAACAACATATATTGTTATGTATTAATCTGTGAGTTATCCAGGGTCCAGAGTGCGTGATCTGTTGGATTCATGCCACACACACTGAAAGAGTGCTTAATGCAATTGTGACATTGCCAACTTTAAATGTGTTTTTCTCCAGGATATTTTGATCAAAACTGAAGAACTGTATTAATAATAGGAATACGACATACTTGTATTTCTATTATCAAAACAATGATCAACTAATTACTGTCCAGTAACCGGTTGGTTTTTTTCATTATTCTGAATCATAATAAAGGACACCTTTCTTTTCATAAAAGAATCTTTGCTCTCCAATACAACTATTTTATCGCCTAGAAAGTACATACTAAAAAAAAATAAAAAAAATCCTGCTTTAAAACGTGTGTAAGCTAATGATTAAACTGGCTACAAAGTGATAAGAAGCAACATGTTGTGGATCAGATGCTGGAAAACAACTTTGTTACTCAAACAGAAGCTCATCCACCACCTAGCGCTGCTAACATTTGCACAGTAAAATAACTGTGTTTTTTAATGAAGCCACTGTATCTGTGCCATCCGTGTCCAGCCTGAACAGCAGTGTGGCCCCACCCTCTTCTTCGCTGACACATTCCTGGCAGATGTCCAGCAGCCTGCCCTCTGGCCACATCTACGCCTTGGGGAGAGCACCGCGACGCCTTCCAACACAACATTCAGTGAAACAACGCTGACCCATGTGGCCAGAGACGTCCTCCTATGGTAATCGGAAGGCGCGTGGCACGGTGGCTGAGTGATAGCAAGCGTCGCCTCTCAGCAAGAAGGTCCTGGGTTCGTATCCCGGTCGGACCAGGCCTTTCTGATGGGAGGTTGCATGTTCTCCCCGTGTCTGCGGTAGTTTCCTCCGGTTACTCCGGTTTCCCCTACCACTAAAAATATGTCCAATATTCTGGCATGGCCCTCCGTGTACGGGCGACCTCACTCCCGACTCTGTGTGGAGTGAGAGACAAATGCCCAAAATTAACAATTGTAAACACGCTTGAGACTCAGATCTGCAGTGAAAAGGCGTATATAAACTAAAAACTTACTACTACTTACTTACTTACTAATCAGACCGCACCAGCAAACACAATCCGCATGCATACAGGAGGGGAGCACGGGCCAAGTTCCTTCAAACTAGGGGCCTTTCTCAGTCAGAAAGGTCCTAACATGTAGCCAGAAAGACACTTCTTTAGCTCCTGTTTGTGCAATAAAAAGATGTCTCGCCTAAAGTAACCCTCATACAATGCGTGTTTTAATGACAGGAGAAAACTAACCTGTATGGTGTGCACCCTTTCTAACCTTTGGCCTGGAGGAAGGAGCCTCGCTCAATGGGTTCTGTTCTGCTCAACTCCAACGGCCATGGTCAGTGCAACAGAGCAGGCGCCTTTATCTATATAGACACTGTATTATAGCTGAAAGCCTAGATAGGCTTGATCGTAGGCTACTAATATTAAATTCCTCTTTTAGAACGCCAAGGGATGATGGTTGTGTCAGCATGGTAAGGAATTAGCTCATGTAATAAACACTTAAAATTCCAAGTCTCTAACATATGTAGTGCACAAGTCTGTAGTCACCTGTCATTCATACTTAGAATTCTAGAATGGCAACGTTGAATAAAATGAACCTTTCCTAGTGTTTTTTTCGTTCATATCCCTTTACCTGTTTTGGTTCTCAGATGTGAGCGCAGCCAAGCGCCCGCGGTCACCTGGAGGAACGCATTGGCGGAGTGCTGGACTTTTACCTGTTACTGGGCCCAGAGCCACCGGCCTCCGTGGTGCAGCAGTATCTGGAGGTGTCGGTGGAGTGCTTTTTGATTCTTTAAAACTGTAAGCTTCCTCTAAATCTAAATAAGGTTAATTTCCATTCTCTACCTTAGAAGGGGGTATTACAGTGTCGATTATACATCTTATATTATAATCCATATTATAAAATATATACATATTACTTTTTTGCACAAAGGCTACTCAAGTTTTTTCTCTGCAGAAGGCACCCTTCCTTAGATAGTGGGAGAATTAAGGGGGTAGAGCTGCTGTCTTTTTGAGAGCCAGTTGGGGTGCTTGGGCATCCATTTGGGATACATCGCTGGGACACCTCCTTCAGGGAGAATTTGTCGCAGGAGACAGTGAGACACAGGAGGGGGCCAGTGACGCTTGGCGGGGGGACTGTGTTTTAAACACTAATCTTAAAATGTGTTTGTTGGTGTGTCCTCTGCAGGCCGCCAGCCAGGCCAGCGTACAGGCCCTGGGTTCCATCCGGTGCCGCTGGTTAGGGCACAGCTATTGCCACCTGGGAGTTTGTCAAGGGCATGAGGAGCTACGGCATACCCAGTTGGTGCCTCAATGACTTCGCATCTGACACTATTTCCATCCCACAGTGGGAAAAGGTCTTCACGTTGCAATACGTCCTAAAAATCAATGAATGATCGTTTGGTCAAAGTGATACATGGATGAATATGTCAGGGGGGCGACAGTAGCTCAGTTGGTTAGAGCATTGGCCTAAGGCCAAAGGTCTTGTTTCATTACCCACCTCTGCACCTTCTCCACCGACTCCCACTGATGACTGCTGTCGATGAGTGTCCTTGGGCAAGACACTTAACCCCACTTTGCCCAAAGCCCCCACTGAAAGATCAAGGCTTATGCTCACCCTCAGAAGAGCAGTACGTCCTCCTGTGGACTAACCACCAGCAGAGGGTCAGTGAGGGGCTGGTGCTTAATGAGACTGGGTGGCATCTCTGACTGTCACACCCGTGACCCCGAAATGATTAAAGGGTAGAAATGATGGATGGATGGATGGGATATAGTCGAATTTAAAAATATCAGAAACAAAACGCATGGACTTCCACCTCAGATACCTTCCTGGATACACTGTCCACTCATGTGGCACTACGAGAACTTTTATCTCCACACAGGAAGGGGTTCAACAAGGAAGGAAAATGATCTTTAGCACATCTTTATTTGTTCTATTTTGCATCCATTTTTTATTCGATACAGAATTCTAACTCATTATCATTCAATGAGTTTCAAGGAGGTGTTAGGTGTTCCTTAGATTTCTTCTTTGATCAGTTTGTATTTTGCATCTTTAGGACGCCAGTGGAATGACATTGACTACATGGACGCGCTTCCTGGACTCACTCATGACCCGGTGCATTTCCGACACGCTGACCGACCATGGTGAAGGACCGCCACGCACGACAACCAGCACTACGTCCCCATCCTGGTAAACAACAAAAATACACAAACACACTGCACACTGCATTCCCATCCTGAACTTTATGAAGTCAATTAGGCAGAATGGAACAATTTCTCCTGATTATGCTAAACACTTAAACTAGATCCGACTTGGCAAAGCCATGCAGTGCATTAAAGACCTCTTGTATTAGAGAAATTTGGCGACTTGCTTGTTTTATCCCAGTGTAATGGCGAAAGCAGGCCCTCTGCTCATGTTTCAATTGTTTGTTACGTAGAGCAAAAGCAAAGCTTCAAGGAAACCTGTTTTTAGGAATGTCTAAAATCTCAGTGATGTCTATTCTGAGCTGCTGCAGCTATTGAGCCTGTGTGAAAATCAGTTCTCTGATTGTCCACTGCCGCCTGATGAAAATGGTATAGGAGTTGGTTTAGCAAAAGTAGAAATGAACGATCCACGTCTGTTCGTAATGAGGGAATCTCGCAATGTGCTTTTCAAATATTGTATTTGTTCTGTCTTCAAGCTTAAAGGAAACGTTAGGCTGTTTTTAAACTACAGTCAACCCTGGACAAAAAAAATAGCACACACATAGTTCAGGTTTCTTTTTGCATTGGCTTGCCATTTCCATGTAGGATTCCCGAGGAGACAGGAACACATAGACTCGGCCTTCTCAAGAGCAGCTCTGAGCTCCTTTTTTGGTCAACAAGACACAGACCTCAGATAATGCATATAGAATGGAAAACCAACAGAACAAAAGGGACGTTCGTATCACACTATTACAGTACTATTGACATTTGAACAGGAGGGGTTATTACAAAGCCTGCTTCCTCCAGGACAAAACAATTAACATACAAACCCCCTCGTCCAGACTCGCTGTGTGCTGAAATGGTTGTAATTCACTTTTGCTTCCAAATATTTTCTGCCACATATTTCATTAAAATGGATAACTCAACACCATTCCAATGTCAAAACCTTAACCGTAAAGTTTCTAATTGTGTGTAGGACCCAGGCATCGCAGCACCGCAGGACCCCAGGAGCTTATTGGGCGTTTGAGGAAGGCCAGAAGAGGGCGTGTCATCAGAGATGCTAACGGAATACGCGATTGGAAGGTAAACCAAATAATGTCATCGCTCGGGGGCACATTATGTAACACTAATATCTGAAGCAATGCCCAATACAACATTTTCCTGCTCGCATTACCAGTACCACAGACTGGGTATTTGGCCATCAATGATTCCCTCGTGTACCACCTGATGGCAGCAGACAACCCAATATATATCTACGTTCAGTTACTGTACCTTTGGGGTTATAATGGCTATCGGATGATATCCCCTCGTTGGGTACATCTGATAGCCATTATTAGTTATTTTTGTTTGAAAATGGTGTCATACTTTTACATATCGCTTCCTAACTGTAATGTAACGCACCTGTTGAACTGTATGTATTTTTTAGTAAACTCGCTCTTTTAATTTGAACTGTGTTATAAGCAATACATGATTGTACTTCAAAGAACGGGTGAAGGAAGCATGTGGCTAAAATCTGGTGAAAACCTCGTTTTAAGCAGCTACTAATGTCCTTGAATTAAATCAAACGTTTAATTGCAGTATGGGCCCGGTCTGACTCGTAACACCAGACTTCTCAGACGAGCCACGCAACGAGTGGTGTTTGAGAACCTGCCAGCGCTTCTTACTAACTCTCCCCTTTGACGCATATGGAGTTGTGAGGCCTTCCACACAGAATGCACCTTGATATACTGCATCTTTAGCAGTCATCCGTGGACATCTGACCCTAGTGATCTCTGACAGGACTGAACGAACCCTCCAACTTCCTGGATGCTCCACAAATGGCTGCCCCGATCGATCAACATGAAAACCCTCCGTATACACATGGTGAGCATTGGGTTAAAAAAATAAGCGCCTGAGGGACTGTGTATGGGGTACTATGTCCTGTTGTACTTAGTTTTAAGGCTTATTTTCTAGGAAAACCATCATATAATTGTATTTGTTCTAAAATTGTAACATTTATTACTATAACTAAATAGAAGTGAAGTTAGTTAACTTTACACAATACATGTTTGGCCGATCAGTCTTAAAGGAATAGTTCACCGTTTTTACATACTGACAAATGTTCTTACCTTACCTTAGACTAGTTAATACGTACCTGTCTGGTCTTGGTCCGTGCGCTCTGTCATGCAAACGGAGCAAAAACGGGAGCACAACCGCAGCCTCCTCTGTATATTTTGTAGCACCAAAAGGTAGCTCCCGCTAGAAGCTACCAAACTCTTCCAAGTGTTCCCTATTAAATGTATATAGTTACGTGACGTGTTACACTGCAAAGTATAGTAACACAGAAATGTAACAGTCGATTTTCTCAGCGGATAAAACGGGTACTATATTGTGAGGCGTAGTAATCTGAGGGGCGCTACGTCCGCGCACTAACTTCTGTCCGGAGACTTCTCTCTCGCTCACTTCCGTCAATAGAAGCAGCGTGACTTGTAATACACACAGTAGCAGCGAGAGAGAAGTCTCCGGAGAGAAGAACACTAGGGAACACTTGGAAGAGTTTGGTAGCTTCTAGCGGGAGCTACCTTTTGGTGCTACAAAATATACAGAGGAGGCTGCGGTTGTGCTCCCGTTTTTGCTCCGTTTGCATGACAGAGCGCACGGACCAAGACCAGACAGGTACGTATTAACTAGTCTAAGGTAAGGTAAGAACATATGTCAGTATGTAAAAACGGTGAACTATTCCTTTAAATTGCATCTCTTCTTATTATGTGGCACAATTGCGGTTGAATCCGAGCCTACCAGAAAATAACAACCAAACTCATGTCAAATACATTATTTTGTCAATAATGAATATTAAAAAATAAATAAATAAGAATTCTTTTGGCCCCAACCAGCACTTACATATAGCATATAAAGAAGTTGTTGAAAGCTTGTGGTAAAACCTGTTCAACATTAAGGCTTTACACAGCATGTGATTCTGTAACTCTTTGTGACAAACTGGAGGCTAAAGAAGCAAACTAACCCATTAACAATTCAATTCAATTTATTTTTTGTCTAGTCCTAAATCACTACTGTACTTATCTCGGAGCGTTGAATTATCTATTATAAGAATAAATGAGCAATAACAAACACACAGCAAAATAATGTAATTGCGTGGAATAGTCTGGTGGCATTTATATAAAGTGTAGTCTCTAAATAGCGCTTTTTATTCATCTTGATTATTAAAAGGTAAAAAATGAATGGTGTCATAACATAGAGTCCTCCATTGTATCATAGAAGTGTCCTATTATGTTATCAGACAACCATAGTACTGCCTCAGTTATGCCCTTCAGGCCCATAATAGAATTTGAAAACCTTCTTTTGTTGTTGCCTGTTGCTCACCGTTCAAGTAATCTTTATCTGACAGTATTCTGGGCAGAGGAGGCCGGCTGTGCGGTGCAGGAGACCAAATATTCACTCGGGCAGTGTGCTTTGAGGCCTCTTGTGGTTCTTGAAAATGAGATGGCTTCATTCATTCTGACTTGAGCAAAGTGATCTTTAACCTGTGCTCAAACCACACTGGACTCTTATGCAGACTCAAAATCTGCTTAACAAATGAAAAGAGGCACTTTATAACTAATAGATTTTAAAGTAGCTTTACTTGTGTACAAGTCTCTCCATGGCCTCGCACCAGGGTACATCCGCGACATGTTGGTGCCATATGAACCAACTCGGGCTCTGAGGAGCACAGGGACTGGACTTCTGTTAGTGCCAAGAGTCGGAACTAGACATGGGGAGGCTGCGTTTCAGATTCATGCAGCTAGAGTCTGGAACCGTCTTCCCGAGAGTGTGAGACAGGCGTCTACTCTAGCAGTTTTTAAAACTGAACTGAAAACAGTTCTTTTTAGCTGTGCATACAAGTGAATGATTTTACATTTGTTTTTATCTTTAATCTTTTTAATGCGCTATGATTATTTATGATTATTTATGATTGTAATCCCTTGTGTGATTTTAATTTTTTACGGTTTTTAACTACTTGTGTGATTTTATATATCTTGTGCTCTTAATCTGTCTTTTTATGTTTACTTAAATTCTAATGTTTGATGATTTATGCATGATGTTATATGGGTTGTGAGGCGCTTTGCGTTGCCTTGTGTAGGAAAGGCGCTCTATAAATAAACGTTGATTGATTGATATAACAGAATGAAAAGGACTAATGCTTCGTCTTCAGGGAGCTGCATCAGTATAACAGTTGATATGCCCCTAAATGCCAACTGATTTCATTAGTAGGGGTTTAATGCATGATTGTAGTTGGCGGATCAGACAGGTCCTTTTACATTTTGGTCTGGCAGGCAGGTCTGAATGCAGTTATGTCTAGGATTGTACAGATTAAGATTGCCAAGATATTATTTCACTACTGTTTAGTATATGTGAAATGTACATATCTCCAATGTGAGATCAATAAAGTTTATCTAAATCTTATAACAGTCAACCAGTAATCAGTGCATAGCTGAGGGGATATCTCTCATTGTTGTGGGTTTGGTGCCTTGTTGGCCTGGCCTGGGTTTTGTGCGGAGTCTGCCTGTTTGTCTCAATGCCTGGGTGGGTTTCCTCTTGGCAATCTGGGATCCACCACCAACCAAAATGTGTGCCATAGGTTTAATCCTCCAGCAGAGGTTCTAGCCAATGGCATGAACACCTGGAGTTCAGTCCCTGTGCTCTACAGAGGCAACGTTTTTTTGCTCCTCACTGGTCACTAGTGGCATTGGAGGAATGGGTCCAATGCAGAGGACAAGTGTATCTGTTGGGACAATAAAGTGCAAACTAGAATGTTCAAAGATATCTCTATTGTCCCACTTGGGGAAATTGGTTTTGCAGCAAGTTATCTTCTGAAAACAGACAGACACAGTACAATCACAACATTGAAGATAACACAAATTGTCCAAATGTGCTGTAAAGTGCAATAGTTTGTATAAAGTGCTATGTGTTAAGGTGCCATGTATGTTGCTGAACAAGATACTTTACTGTGCTTTAATTAAATGTAATAAACAACCACGACAAAGATAATATTTAGCTTAAACGTAAAGAGTGCACTTCATATGTTCATTTTCGCCATGTTAATACACCACTTGTATTCCTGTTTGATGCTGAGTAAAAGCCCTACTTTTACTCAGCATCACATTGTATAACCAGTAAAATCGATGCCGCAGATGATTTTTGAAGACTGCTTGGCCAGCTGCAGGAGACATCTCATTATATTTGCACTCTCCGTGGTGTTGTGCTGTGCAGTCACACGGGTTTGAAGCACAGAGCGAGAGAGCAGGTGTGCAGCCAAAGACGAGAGCAGGGGGAACAAACAAACATGCCTTATCCTGCCTCCCAGTGTCCAAGCCCCAGTGGAGCTCCACGGTGCCATTACGCTGAGCTGTGGTCCAAAGCCAAACCCGGGTGTGACAGTGAGCCAGCGGGAGAGGGGACACATGCAGAGATAAACGGCACGCTACCAGGGCCTCCGCTATGGCTGTTTTGGTTAATTGCTAGGCCGCTAACAAGTGCTAGGGTTTGATTACGCTCAGCAGGCAATGGTTAAGAGCTGTCAGGTTGTGTGCGCTCAATACCCCTCCAGAAGGATTGGAATACTAGAGATAAAAGAGAGATGGAGTCAAGGTCTGTCTGAATTCATGGTTTTGTTTTTTCTCTATTTTTTCCTAAAGCCACATGTAAGGTTGTCAAAGATATCAATGCTGAAAAGAGACAATATATGTCATTGTAAATAGTTTCTGAATTCCTTTTTTTGATCTCAGAACTAACATTAAATCATGATGTACCCTCTAAAAGTACTATTATAATTCATTCATTCATTTTCAACCCCTTTTTAGGCAATTCTGGGTCGGGTGATACTATAATAATGTCTTATGTTAAAAATGCAGCTCATTGTTCAAAAAAATAATTAGTATCAAGCCCATTTCTTGGTATCGTAATCAATCTTTTGCCGTTTTTGTAACGTGAAAACACAAGCTGAATGTTTTATATGGACCGTGCCAGAATACCATCACCAACAAAGGCTTCTGTTCCAGCAACGCAAATATATAGACAACAAGATTTAATCTACAGTATGATGCTCCATTTTTCATTCACCATTCTTGCAGTTTCTGGAAAGAGTGTGAGTGAATGACGATGCCCCACAGCCAGCTTTATCTATTGAAATATTCATCATAGATTTGCTCCATTTACTGACATGAAAGGGAATCTCTGGGTATTTTATTTTCGCAGTGAGAGACAATTTGGTTTGTATCACTTAAATAATTAATCCATGAATTTTGTGATTACAAGCCTGTGATGCCTCCTGTTTGATCCTTGTCAGACAGTAATTAACCAGCATGAAAGCTTTGTCCGCATCACTGCCAATCCAAATACGCTGCTTCTTAATAAGAGGAGATCATTAATTCTACCTTTTGCATTTTTCAACTAATTTCTCCTCCTCTCTTCTGCCTCCTCAGATCTGGTATTCTCCTGGATTTTTAACGAATACCCGACCTTTGTGAAGCAGGACACGCGACGCTTCATCTCTCAGGAGACGGGGAACTTATACATCGCCATGGTGGAGCCTTCTGATGTGGGCAATTACACCTGTGTGGTCACCAACACTGTCACCAAGAGCAGAGTCCAGGGCCCGCCCACTCCTCTGGTCCTGCGCAGCGACGGTAAGCTGATGATGCGCTAATGAACTTCCCCAGTGCACTCAAATATTCAGGGACTAATTGCAAGAGAAATATGTTATCTGTGTATTCAGCCTAGGTTGCCATTTGACAGACGCTAAGACATATAAGTGTGCATAGTGTTTAAGTGTCACTTTGTCTTCTTCTGCCCTATACTGTATGTATATAACTTTGCACTGTGTATATATATATAGAGAGAGAAAGAGATATTTTGAAAGATTGAAAGTGAAGCATTTACAGCTGGCTAAGAAACATAGCAGCTACTTATATTGTGTATTCTGTGTGCGCCCTGTGTGCTCTTACTGCTGTCCTGTACTGTATGTGTGCGGTAACATTGAAATTTTGCCAACTGTGGGACGTTTAAAGGATCTGTCTTATCTTACTGCACAATTTCTAAAACCGACAACTCAAAACAAGGAGAGTTAACAAGGCATAAAATCATAAAAATCACAGTACATTAAAAATACTGAAGATACAATCGTTCAGGTGTATGCGCAGCTAAACAGAACTGTTTTCAACCCGGATTTGAACATTGTCAGAGCAGAAGACTGTCTCACATTTTCAGGAGGACTGATCTAGATTGTAGCTGCATAAATCTGTAACGCTGCCTCCCCATGTTTAGTCCTGACTCCGGGCACCAGCAGGGGGCCAGTCCCTGATATTCTACCCTTGCTGTCTCAAAGCTCCTGATAGTATGATGTATTTGTGCCACTAGGACATCACGCTCAGAGCAGTTTTATGTCTTTCGGAATGAAAATTAAATTAAATTTAACACTAGAAAACCCAACCGAAATTGGCCCCTGTTTTGAGAAGAGGGAGCTAACTTGCTAGGTTGGCTGCTAACATTTGCATGTATTGATTTGCAAATGTAGGTAATGACTTATAACAGCAGGGGGCTGGGGTGGGCTTTGTTTATTCGTGCGGGGGAGGGAGAGCTGCAAGAGAGTACTACAGTAGTCTGAGGCCCTGTCCACACGAAGTCAAGCTCGGGCCTAAACGCAAAAATACTTTATCAATCCAGTGTATCGTCCATACGAGGCCGGCGTTTTGGGGGGGTGTAAACGAACATTTTTGAAACCAGGTCCCAGAGTGGAAAGATTTCAAAACTCCGTATATGCCGCTCCGTGGTTACTGCCTCTCCGCAATGTATCTGAGACGCTTGCGTCATCGCCCCGCCTCTTGTTAAAGCACGCATGCGCCGCACTCAGAAAATAATGACAACAACAATGTAGCTTGTTGGTTTTGTAATCCAGTGCGACCCGAAGCAACAGTTCAACCTCATCGTCCGTCCATACTAATGTAGTACCAGCTCGCCCACTCGCCATGTTGTCTGTTTACAAAATTCCGCGCATGCCCAGTTCCAGTCACGGAAGTTTGGGCTTGATCCCGTCATTGCGTCACAGCGCCACCAACAGGTCTGGCATAGTTTCACAGCGTTTTCAGGCGTATTGACTACATTCATATGGACGCACACATTTACTGAGCTAACTCCGTGTTTACAGAAAAAGTTTCTGAAATTATAAGCGTTTTGTCTTCGTGTGGATATAGCCTGAGACCACAGATACACATGTGCTGTGTACCCTGAGAATGCGCTGTATATATTTTGTAATCAGTTTTTCTCAGTGTCTTTGGTGCATTTTTCACATAATTCTTCACATTTTAACAACAGTTAGTGCATTTCTCAGAACAATGAGTGCAAACTGCAAAACCTCATGGATAACCTGCTAAAAAGTCACTTTCTCAAAATGAACTTAATTCCTCAAAAGAAAGTCTTCATGTCAATGAAACTGTCTGTGTCTCAAAAGAATAAGTCCTGACATCAGTGTTTATGAACAACAGTCAAATGATTTAGTCATGTTTTCATTGTGACTGTATTTAGTGATACATATGGATGTACTGTATGTTCACATATTTACTGCTTATGCTCTTTGCAATTCTACAGCATTCTGCAACAAAAATAGTACACATACAGTATTTACGTAGAAAAACATACAAAAAATCATTACGGTAGAACCTCCACAACATTGAGTCGTGTGTGACATCATCGCGGCAGTTTCTCCTTTGAACACTTTACAAATGCTTTTGGACATGTATCAGTTACTTTCATACAGTTCTCCGCTGTTTTATAACATTAACATTTGCTTCTGTCCTGTCAATCAGAATGAAACATACTTATCACGACTGAATAGTTTCTGTAAAACCAGTAGTCCTCATTTCATTGCTTTGGTCATCACATACAAAACTGTTCAAAACCAAAATCTGTCAAACTAATTTCATACATTACTTTATCTTTTTATATCCAGAAAATCTTTCCTAATTTTGAATTTCAGCTTCACTCATGACGAGGTGTGTGTTTTATTGTTTACATTCGTCACAGTTCTACCATAATGATATTCTGTATGTTTGCTCTATGTATGTGACTGTATTTCTGTTGCACAATGCTGTAGAATTGCAGTAAATATGTGAAAGACATACAGTACACAGACATACATCGAAACACATACATGCACAAACACACACACACAGTAAATACATACATGCACAAACACACACACACATACAGTACATACAGTATAAATGTTCTTTTACTCTCACTAAATACAGTTGTGTGTAACTTTACTGTAGTTTTCAGCTGTACAGTGCTCACCAAGATCAGATTTTTTGCTTTGAAAACACAGAGAGTAAAGTGTCACAATGAAAACGTGACGAAGTCATTTGACTGTGTTGTTCATACTCCATGTTGTTAAGACTTATTATTTTGAGACAGACAGTTTCCTCAACATGAAGACTTGCTTTTGAGGAATAAACTTTTCATTTTGAGAAGGTGATGCACTTTTGCAGGTTATCCCCAAGGTTTTGCAGTTTGTACTAATTGTTCTGATAAAGGCACTAACTGTCGTGCAAATGTGAAGAATTATGTGATAAATGCACCAAAGACACTGAGAAAAACTGTAAGTAGCATATTTATTTTGTAAACAATGTAAATGTATACATTGAATGACATTGCTCGTTTGTTTTCTTTCAATTCACTTTATTATTTTCATTATTATTTTTTAACTAAAGTCAGCATGACACTAGATTTAACTCATTTTAACTCAGATCCTCCCTCTCCCGAAGAAGACAAAGTAAAGTGGTTGAGCAACTTCAGCTCAGCCTGTGATAATGGCCTTATTTACATAACAAAGTTGGCCGTTCACAGGTGATTTAGTTTGTTAGCTAAAATCCTTGGAGTCATTTGGCACCGTGGTGGGCTTTTTAGGTAGAAGTGCCAAATGGCACCTCCATGGGTTTGCTAGTGTTAAGTCTATTAATTTCAAAAAAATGTATTGTATTAGCCCTAAATCACAACAGTAGTTATCTCAGAAGTCTTTGTATTTTGCTGCAGTGTATGTAAATGTATGTCTTCAGCTTTTTTTATGGGAAAAAAAGTGATTGTGCTTTGAATGTTTTCTTCAAATCCATGTCCACTTTCTTTAAAGCACATTTCATAAACAAAAGAGGTCCCAAAGTGCTGCACAGGAGTAAGTAATAAAAGAATACGAGCAAACCAACAACCAACACAAATAAAAATGCCCGATATGACTTCCCCAGGTTAAAACAATACAACCAGTGAAATCAAATACATTTCTTTAGTAATGCCCGTTCTATGCAGTCCAATAAATATTTTATCACACACAAATAATAATAATAATACGGAGCTTGCAGAGGTAGGTGGTTCAGACTGGACCATTTCCTGCAGTCTTAAAATTGTGCAGAAGAGTAATTCAGCAGTATAATCCATGTGTTCCCTGAGGATCTGATCCACATGTTGTATAAAAACTCTACATCACTTGTAAATAATCCAGTATATACCTGAACACATAAGTTATACTACAGATATTATTATTTTGTGCCATTGCTGTTGTAAGGTACTGTACTGTATACGTGCTAGTTCTGGTTTTTAACGCTTTACAATGATGGCGTACAGAACCTTGTCGTCCCAGAGGTTTTTTGTGTGCTATATATATATTATTGCCGGTGGCTGACCAATACCGTCCTCTGTCTGACAAAACAATGTTCTCAATAGGCGATAATGCATTTAGATTTGAATGCTGTCCCAAAAGGCTTGTGAGAGTCTATTTTGCGACCATGATGACACAACCTACAAGATTGTTGTTGGACTTTTTGAGATTATAATTAACTCTTGCATTCTGCATTCTCCCCATTGTAATTCTCACTTGAAATCAGTAAAGTGGGACAAGTGGATTTAAGAAGCTGCAGAGAAATCTAAAGGTTAATAATGCTGGCTTGTGCTAATTCAGTGCTGTTCTTTTGCATAAATCAGGGATGCTCTTGGCCTTATCAGAGTTGTACCCAAAGGTCAGTGTCAGCGGCTCGCCTAATGCAGGTCTGAGTGTGAGCCTGCTCCACATTATGTCTCTGTAATCCCATACACAAAATACAAGAGAGGACCGTTTATATGCATCTACTTATTTTCTGACATTTAGTGGAGGCAGGAATATGCTCATGAACTTGTATTACTTTTACAATTCATAGGTTTTGTTTTGAATAGCTAAAGGATAGTAATGGGGGGTGACAGTGGCTCAGATGATAAAGGATTGGTCTTCAGGCCTAATGGTTGTAGGTTCGAAGCCTCTGCTAAAAGACCAAGCCTTCCTGTGGACCCCCCACCTGTAGGACGATCAGTGAGGGGCTAGTGCTAAATACAGTATGGTAGCTCTGAATGCAACCCCCTGAAAATCAAAATGTTTTAGAGAGACAGAACAAGCTCTTCATCATCAACCATCACATAAAGGTGGTGTCTGCAACTTCAATTGTATTTGTTTATTTTTGGCCATATAACCATGTAGTCCCATCTACATTAAACATGTTTTCATAATAAATACATTTAAAACAGAACAATTTTCTGGCTATCAAGGATTTTTAATCATTGCATGTCTAACCAGTGCTTACATTCCAAAAGGTCTGTCCATCCTTACAATTCGAAAAGTAACTGACCTTTGCT